TTAAAAACCTTCAATTTAATTACATAATTTAAGTAAAAAAATTGATCAAGAAGATGAGATTAACTTGGTATAAAGATAGTGAGAGTTGTTATTTTTTTAAGAGAAAATTTGTGAGGGAGTACTATCCATGATTAAACCCACCAACTATTACGAACGGTTGCAAATAAGATCGATAAAGAAGCCACCGATGATATCTAGCATTCTAGAATACAACAAGGCTATTCGATAGCAAACAATAATGAGATCAGGAAGGAGAACTCAAGACATATCTACATGGCATCATAAAAGATCAACAATCTCTTAAAGAACATATTAAACATGACCCAATTCATTAAAAAAAAGAAATGTTGACACTGACATATGTATACACTTAGAGATTCCTAGAATGGAGAAAGCTCCATACCAAGAGTACATTAATGGCCAAACATTAGTTGGGGTCATCTAATAGCTAGATGGTTGTGGACAACTAGGCTTCACCTAAAGAAAATGGCGATAAACAATGAACCCAATGGTTGAGCTTAGTGAAGCCAAGTGGATACTAGCAGCATAAATAGCACTTGGATAGACACAAGATAGAGGTTAGGCTATCATTTAACTAGAGTTCGAAGTTGTGATGAGATTTTGAACGTAAATAAGGTGGTTAAAACTTTGAACACTAGATAAGCACGCATCTTTCTTTTTGTATTTTTTGTTATATGAAGGGTTATTAAAAGTTAGCCCCAACAGCCCCCACTGACCTTGTTACACAGCCACTATCATAGATCCCAACAATAACTTACTTTCAACTACTTTAATCGGATGCTTTCTCCAAAGGTAAGGCTGATACTTAAGACTTCCCTTCACTAATTGTGATAGATTTTCTTAGTACTATTTTCAACAGTGTTTGTTTATTTGCTTCTTATCTTTCACAGTGTTTGTTTATATTCTTTGTTAAGACTTAGAATTTTCATATATTTAGAAGTATTACTTTCATAAAAATAATATTAGTGATGAAAAAATTTTTTTTCAACCTTTTATATATATATATATATATATATATATATAAACTTCATCATATAGTTTTTCAAGAAGTTGATTATTCATCACACTTTTACGATCAATTTTTAAAGTGCTACAACCATCTCGAACACACTAATCAAAACATTTGTTGCACAACTTTATAATTTAAAAAAAAAAAATTAAAGTTATATGAAAATTTTATATAACTTACATAAATATCAATGTGATGCACGAGCTCAAAAAAAAAAATAAAAATAAAAATAAAAATAATTGCAGTTTTAATACTATTGTAATGTATTATTTCCGCTCCAAAATGCAAAACATTAGAATGGCAGAAAAGTCTTTATATTCAAAGCATAAACTTTAGCAACCACTGCATCTCTCTTATTTCACTCCATCAAATTCAACCAGTTGCCTCCCTCAACTTCCCAATCTCCACACAACTTTTCTCTTTCAAAGACAAGAAAAAAAAACATAAGATTTTCGCCTCGATCAATATCTACTCATTCGATCAATTTCTTCCATCAAATTTCCAATGCAAGTCGAAGATTTTTTCTCAAAAACCACAGATTCCATGCCATCACCGGCGACCACCACAACCAGCTACAATCTTCGCCGGAGCTCCGAGTATTCCGCCGAACCCCACACCGAGCTGTCTCTCTCTAGCTCTTCATCGCCGCCATTAGTGCATGGAGAAGCTTCTCAAACGATTAAGGGAAATGAGCAGAACATGCTTATGTGGAAGATTCCGGTGAGGAGGAGTGTTACGGCGCCGAGGTTGAGGTGGACGAGTAGCCTGCATGCCCGTTTTGTGCATGCTGTAGAGTTACTTGGTGGACATGCGAGTATGTTGTTAGAGCTCCTTCTTATAGGTATATATATTTGCTCTAATGGTATGTTTATGTGATTGATTGATTGATTTTTTTTTTTTGTCTAAAAGGAGCTACACCAAAATCTGTTCTTGGACTTATGGATGTGAAAGATCTTACTCTAGCCCATGTCAAGAGCCATTTACAGGTCTGATCGATTTGCAATGTTTGTTTGTATTTTTTTCTTTTTTCTGATCATCCATTTAACAATTCTTGATCATTAATTCTCTTTTAGTACAGTGATAATCGAATCTATTGATTAGTTAGTGATGGGTTTAGAGAAAATATCATGTGAAGCGAATTGCACATATTGACAGTTTGATTGCGATCAAGCTACGGTGTATGCGGACAATTATCTGGACATACAATCACTTCACGTAATATTTGTTTTTGAGTCCGACGAAGAGAAAAATATTACCTTTGGCAGATTGCACGTCCCGAACAACGGTCGGGATGCGGCTATACAATTGTTCAAGACATGATTGTTTATCCGGACCGCCGTCTAGATGTATAGTCAACTCACATAGTACCTGATCCTGGCAAACACTTCTTTATCTTTATTTTAGGAAGAAAGCGAGAGAGAGACGGAGAGAGATCATTTGGTAATGATGAAGTAATAATTTAAACCTTAACGAAGCAGTCAAATGTGACCAATAATGGTGGAAAAGAGATCTGTAAAATATGAATAATGGGAATTGAGTTTCTGCTTATAACCAGTTCTTTTGCACTATTTCACTGCTTTCTCTCTTTAATAAATGATGTTTTTTTCTTGTGCCACTAGATGTATAGAACAGTGAAGACAACTGAGAAAGCTGCAGCTTCCTCAGGTGCGTTGCAACGTGCTTTATTATATTATGAAGCAGTGCATAAATGTCAGGAGGTCAATTATGTAATTAAGTCTGATGGTTAAGTT